CTTATTGTTGCAAATCCAAGAACTCATCAGCCTCTTCTGCCAAGATGTGATTCAGAGAAGTGCTGAGGGCTTTGCCATAGTAGTTTTCTCTCCTAGCCATCAAGGCCTAAGAAACTTTGGGGGACAGAGGACAGAGGTCCCTGTTACATGGAGCTCTGCAGCCCCAAATCCAGATCAAAATAGCAATTGGAGTGAGAGACCTGGCCAGTGACTCTGGAAGGCTGAGATGCAGGATGTGCTGGGAAGTGACAGCCATGTATTTATTAGCTCTGATGTCACAGCAGCAGGGGATTGGAGAGAAAAACAAAGGGTCATGTGGACAGAGACTTCACCTTGTTCTTTTGGACAAGGCTCCGCCAGGCGCCATGAAGGTGGACGTGGACATGAAGTGCCACCGTGTAAGACAGCTGTGTTTTACTGTGGAGTGGATGACACAGGGTCAAGTTCAGAAGCATGTATCCTATTCTTTACGATCTACACCCCTAAAGCCTCGGGCTCTGGCGTGAGAGAAGGTTTTGGACAGCAGAGATGGTTGTACCAGGAATGGAATTGTCGTCAGTTACCAATGAGTCAGCACTGATTCACCTTGACCTTATAATTCTGAATTAACAGAAGAGAATCCTCGACATCCCCTCTCTGTCATCTTGATGCTCTGTGGTGGCCTGTGTGTTGTCATGATGCTGAGAGTTACACCCTTGACCTTGGACACCAGCAGAGCCGCCCATGGTGGACAGGGGCCAGCAGAGCTTCCAGACTAAGATAGAGGGAAAGTCAGGCCACGCAAACCTGACGGGGCATTATTAGTGCAACGAATGCCATTGAACTGTATGCATACGAATGGTGAAAATGAGGAATTTTATGTCATCTATGATTCACTTGAACAAAATATGAATTAAAAATAAATTACAAAATGGGAAAAAGACATGGGAAGAATTTTCACAGAGGAAGCTATTTGAATGGCAAACAGACACATGAAGAAATGCTCTAATCCCTGGCAAAGAGAGAGATGCAAATCAAAACCACAATGAGATACCATCTCACTTCAGTAAGAGTGGCAAAGCTTAACAGGGCAGCAAGTAAAAGATGTTGGAGAGGATGTGGTGAAAAGGGAACTCTTCTACATTGTTGGAGGGATTATAAAATGGTACAATCATTCTGGAAGGCAGTTGGGGCTTTCTCAAAAAGTTGAACCTAGAAATTCCATATTCCAGCTATTGCACTAATTGGAATATGTT